CTCGAACTTTTGTTATATGTTTTGATGCTAACTGAGCAGCACGCAGTTCTAACCTTGGATGTGTAATGAATTTGATTGGTGCAACTCCCGATTTTGAACATAACTGTTTACATACAACTTTATTACTCGTATCTATGAATCTTATATATGTTGCGGCTCCGAATGCTCTTTCGCTAGCATCACTGAAGACATATAACTCTCTTCTCATAATGTTCGTTTGATTGAACATATCTGGAAATTTTTACAATATTAAAATTGCTTCAATCTTGACGAAATTCCATCCACTAATTTTTTAAGTTATTGCCTAATTCGTCATCAAAATGAAATTTTAATTTCCATAAAAAAATCGCTGCCAACATAATCCGATCGTTTAATTACGTGATTCAGATCTGTGATGTTCGTTTCTGTGTTTACTGAATATGTGTTGAAACGCTTTGTGGATGTTTTGCTTCTGAGAATGGCAATTGATCTCTTCCTGTAAGATCACGTCGAGGCCACCAAAGTAAAAACCGATGAACGCATCTGTAGGATATCGGTTCTGCCTAGGTTTTTTTTTACTATGTCAATTCGATATAATATATCCTGTATAAAATTGGAAACTAGATTTCAATTAATATTATATCTTCTGTCTTGTGAAGTTGGTTTTGTCAAGAAATAAAAAAGCGTGTTACTTTTAAAATTCTTCGATTTCTTCTCCTCCTTTATTAATCAATATAAGGGTTTATATACAATATTTTAATTTAAAATCTATCCCTACTCTAATATACATTCAAGTGATATGAATTTCGAAACTCAAATACAAAATTATTAATCGTCATAAAATTACATTTCTTTTATTTCTAATCAATTCTCAATATTTATTTAGCTAAGCAAAATATTATCCTTTTTTGTTATTTATAACCATGCTACAACATGATACTTATTTTTTTATATTTTTATACTTTAAAATTCAAAAATATTGAAATTAGATGAATATTTGCATTGAAAAGTTTAAATTTAAATGAATAAAAAATAAATCGTAATTTCTTTTACCATCTACAATAAATGTTTAAACTGAAGTTTAAACAACTTACATATGTACATAAAATTGAATGTTTTTAATATGCACTCAGCACTATTAATTTTAAGAATTTGAATTTTTACACAATATGTCCAAGATAAAATTCTCCTGTAAATAAATTAGTCCATTTGCTAAAATAATTCATTATTTTCCTAAAATAATTCATATTAGTCTTAAAATAGACCATTTCTCCTATAAAAGAAATCATTAATAGCTAACATATCTCTCTCAATTTTGTGCTGTGACATTTCTATATTCAACAGGTTTCATTATAATGGGTTATATAATAAATTATATATCTTGGACAGAACTAATGTATTAAATTGTTATTTTCAATCTTTCAATAAAAATTATGTGACGTTCAAATCGTCTTAAAACAAAGTTGTATTATAAATTATTTACCTCACTAATACAAATTTATGCTACTTAAACATCATAAACAAACTACGAAGTTTATTTTTATTTTTTGGATCACTATTTAGAAAAAAAAAATAAAATTTAAAAAAATTTTTGAAAAACTCACATCATGTGATCACCACATAACCGGCCGCAATGTGTATTGTCTAGGTACGTCAAAGTGTTACAGAATATTATAAAAATGCCTGTTAAATTCTTTTTTCCAATTTTTAGGGCATTAATAAGGTTATACCAGACCGCATTGCATACAATAAGGGAGGTTATGTGATGGCAAGAAATTTTGGGTATGGAGTTTTCGGTGGGAACACCCTTCTCCATAGTAGGGAAGCGTAAATAAGCTATTTTTAGAGAGGTGTCGGTCTGTCTGTATGTGCACTCGTGTATCCCAAGTTCGGCTGAACCGATTTTCATGAAATTTTATATGTGAGTTCGTGTTGACTATGTCACGGATTGAACAACTTTCACGGACTTTTGAGATCTATCAAGGCTTGATAACTGGACCTCTTTGCGAGAAATATAAAGAGAAATAATAAAGCGATTTCCTTGAAATTTAAAGTTTAAATTTGGAGTATTAAAACAATGAAGATATAAATTTTTTGGAATGATCAGGACTCGGAAATCAAACTGGGTGCCGATTTTAAATTTGTTACCTTATCTACAGAATGTGTTGATGGAATATCTTGAAATTTGATATTTGAAATGCGGTTGCTACCGAAACTAACTGGCGAGCTTTTCAGGGAATTCGGATTGCACAAAGCGAAACTCTACTAAGAGCCGATTCTACAGTTTTCTAGGTATGTTAACTAAAAGCTTACTGACTACCTAAAAATTGGAAAAAAGTGTTTAAAAGATATTTTTATAATCTTTTGTAACACTTTTACTTAACTAGACAATACGCATTGCGGTCGGTTATGTGCTGACCACATCAGATTTTTTTTTGTTGTTATTTAAAAGGAAATTTAAAAGTTTTACCCTTACAAATCATTATCAGTGAGTTTCCGTCCTAAATATTTTTTTGAAAATACACTATTTGTAAAAAGTTTAATGCAATAGAATAAAATTTTTTTATAAAATTTTGTCCTAAAAATATATTGTCAAGAAATTTAATGTACACTTATGCTTTGTTTACTAATACATTTTGCACGAGATATCGAAAAGAATACATAACAATTTTAATTGTAGATTTTACTAACTCTTTATAATTTTTTTAAGAAAATGTAGTATGTAGTATTTTGTATGAAGTATGTAGCGCTCAAAAAGCATTTTGGGAGGGGGTGAAGGGAAGGGTGGTTGGAATTCTTGCTTTTTCTGGGACGCTAGAAGCAAAATCCTATCAAATGCCTTTTGACCCATGTCTAACGTATAGAAGTAGCCGTATTTTTTGACACCTGAGAAGTAGTTATATACATATATAAAAGCAGTGGCGTAAGCAATTTTGCTTTTGAAAAATCAAAAAATTTTTATAAAAGCAAAAGTACTTTTGTTAAAAATAAATAGGAAAAAAACTATTTCGTAACTGGAAAGTAATATCACTGATTCTAGAAGATGTACATAACCAATTGCAGCAAAAAAAAATTTTTTTTCTATTTGTGACTGCTTTTGAGACCCTCATATAATGATTGTACATTGCGAAATTTTATATTTTTAATAACAAACTGAATCATTGCAAACTTTTATTTGTAATTTTAAATTTACAAATGAATTGCATTTTATTTCATAAATCGTCTGAGAAATGAAACTGTGTATAAAAAAAAGTTGCGATTTGCTTTTAAGAATCTAAGAAAAATTTAAGTTTCTGTCTAAAATTTGTGGCTTTTTGTGTGTAAACTTTTATATTTTTCATTATATTTACGATTTTATTAAAGTAAATGCCTTGACTGGTATTTATAGAGTTGCATACCTACATGAGCTTGTGATAAATTGTGGTTTTGAAATTTCAGAAAGTCAGACTGTTTTAATTTACTGTTTAATTTTTTTAATCATTCGAATTATTCGACAGTATCCATCAATACAGAAAATTCTGAAGCAGCCTCAAATGACTGAAATATCGTTTCGATAAATTTTAGAAACTCTTTTAATGACTGAATTTTTTTCGTTTTCTGTAAAGACAACTTATACAATGACAATGAAAAATACCATTTTAAACAAAAAGGATAAAAAAAAGTATTCGATAGGAAAATAAGTATCAGATATACCGCAAATTCTTTAACGTCAAAATTTTGTTTTCAGTCTGTAAACTATCTGAAGTATAAAACTTTTACGGACAGAAATGTAGTAAACTTTTTACCCATAATTGACTTTGAATTTTGATCATCCGTAAACGTCAAAACAAAAAAATTTTTTTTAGATTTAAAATAACTTTATACTTAAATATTAAAAATTAACAAAAAAATTATTTTTTATATTATTTTTAACGTAATGATAGTCACTCAATACATCAAATTTATTTACTGAATTACTACGTCAGACTGTCTGCATGTAAAAAAAAATCTACAATTTTGACGCTTAATTGACTTTTTTTAAACGTTTAAGAATTTAAGTTTTAACTGATAGTAAAAACGCAGTAGAGTACCGTAGACCCAGACAACTCAGATTTTGTAAAATTTGACGTTTAAGAATTTACCAATATTGAATAAATTTTATCTTACCCATTCGAATAAATTTTTCCTAACTATTCGAATTATTCGACAGTTTCCATCAATGCTGAAAATTCTGAAGTAGTCTGCAGTGTAAATCAGTAAAATATAGAAATCAAAGAGTAAAGTAAATATCACTGAAGTATAGAAATCGCTAAATTTCAGTTGAAAGAGGGACCAAAAAGAGCCAAATTTGGTTATTTTCAACTACATATTTTCTGAGTTTCATTTTTATAAAATTATATACAAAAAAAACTTTCAACTGCTGTTATAGAAAAACAACTAACAAACAATTACATAACTCAAGTGTGGGAACATAATTTTATTTAATTCATTCCTACATTCAAAAGCCTGAAAAATTCCTGAAAGGACAATTTTTGCTACCACAGAAATCCGTCAAATGAATATAATAACAGTGTTTTAGATTACAAATATACATTTATAATTGTGAAAAGTTCCAACTCTGAAGCATTTTTCAAGATTTTATATGCTACATTTAAGCTTGAAAAAAATCACATAAAAATACATTTTAAAAATCTAAAAAGGAAATTAATTAGCTGTTGTGGATGAGTACTTGATACAAAAAATCTTTTTTTGAATTTAGAATATTGGGTGCATATCTAAATTAACGAATATTCTGACTTTACAGCCAGTTTATTAATATAGCAAATCCCATTATTTTAGTAAGTCTACTTTGCCAGTTTAAGCTAGTACGTTTATTACCGGTCGAAGTATAATTGTTTTAGATCCTTATTATGATCAATGAAGCGAATATGAATTTTTGGTATTATTATTAACGAATTCGTCAAAAAGTTAGGCGAATGAGCTGCCAAATCTGTCGAATGAAAATTATGTTACAAGATTAGTGAATGAAACCAAAATCAAAATAATACATAAGCGTTTTTTTATTGGAATTATAGCATTTATAGTGATATAATGGAAAAATCTAAATTATCATAATTCCACAAATTATTGCAAAATACTAATTTTTTAATATCAATTTAAACGTGGGAAAAACGAAACAAAAACAATTCAACCATTTAAATTAATGAAAAACCCCGTAATTGCTAAAGGTAGAAAAATACGATTCTTTCTGCAAAAAAACAATCACGTGTAGTATTATCCTTATATATTTTCGGCAGCTTTTTTGATGTCTTGTCTAGAATGGCATTCGATTCGCCTAGCTATTCACTCCACCGACCATAATAAAGGTATTAATACGTTTAAAATAAAACTAGTATACTTGTTTCTATTTTGCTGCCTATGTACCATAATTTTAATATTTATCAAAAATGTGTAAAACTCTCGAAGTTTTGAATATCTGAAGGTAAACTTGGTTTTCTTGCTGCTTTCCACTCAATTGTACATATGTAATTCCCACAACGTACATATGTGTCCTTCATAGTTTCACTAATAAACATATTAATTAGCTTGTTCACATGCATCTACCCAATCATTATAAACATCTATAGGCTCCGATAAAAAATTAATAGTTGTTTGATAATCCTCCAAACATACTCTGCAAATTATACGTGCAGAATTACGACTTTTATCCCTAAAAAAAAATTTGAGTTTGTACGCTGAAAAAGTATACACATGTACATATTTTAATTAACATACATCTTTACGTCGCAAGATTTTTCATGATTACAAAAAGGGCAATTAAATTGTTGGTCCAGCGGCACAATAGCTTTTCTTTTTGGTGGTGGCTTTCGTTTTGATTTCCGACGACCCATTTTTTTTATTTTATTTTGAGTTACATTGAAGATGACATAATTAAATTAATCCAGGTTTGAATTAAAAGTACGTAAATTTTAATTTATATATCCTATTCTGCAACACAACCCAACTACATGAATTAACAAAGCGTATCCATTAGAGGTGGACTGTCGATGGCACTATCGATTCTATCGATAGTTTTCAACGATTAAAACTATCAATAATTTTAAAGTCGATATAATACTATCGCCATATAATCATCAATTCAATTATATCGTCATATAATCATCAATTCAATTATTCAAAATATCGTTTTGATTTTTATGAATTCCCTAACATTATTTTCGTACGTATACACATTAATTTGAAAATTTATCTTTTTTTTTTTCCAAATATTTCGTGAAGATTTTGAGTTTTTTATCGATAAAATAAAAAGTTAAAGGTTAACAAAATATTTGTTAAATAACAAAAATGTTTAAAGTTAATTTTATGCTACTGTCTGTGTGTCTGTTTACAAAACTTGTACACCCTTGACAATGAAACTAATTTTCGTAGAACATAATTTTAGTCTATCTCCCCCCTTCTAAAAGTTATAACCCCCCAAAACCATAAAAATGCTAGTTTTCAGCTATTTATTGTAGTACAACCATCTGCATTTTTTAAATTTTATACATTATACGACATAGGAAGTTGCGTTACAAAACGATCGATATATCACGATACTTTTCATGATGCAATACATCGAAAGTTCTCCAACACTAGTTTGCATGACTAGTTACCTTGCTAGCAATAACACTTTTATGAAATATCACGGTCTAATAATTTTTAATGTCTACTGAATAATCGATGGCAGTTCTTTTTTAGAATAAAAGCGTCATCGGGGAGAAATGTTTTATTTCATTATGCAATACAAATACATAAAAATACTAAATAGACTTGAACCAAAAACTAAAAATTCTTTAAAAATAACTAAACGAAATTTAATGTTCTTACAAACTAGAATAATGAATTATAGGTAGCAAAACAGGTTACAGGTTATTTATTTTGTTTTTTTAGGTAAAACAAAAATAGTACATATGTGTATGTACATAATAAGAATTCTTTTTGGGAAAAAAAAGTTGAATTTACTTTTTTTATTAACTATATAACATATTTACATAAAAAAATAAAATTTTGAATCCTGAAGTATACTTTATTGTTACCTTGTTCTTTGGAAAAATATCATTTAGGTATATAATTTAGGATCTCCTTTTCTCGTAGACTACAGTTTCTTATAGAAATGCAACCTTCGACGCTACTTCCTCGAGGAATTTCTATTTATATAAAGTAATCATGTATATTATTATATTTTATTTAAATATGCATACAATAAAAACTTTAAAAAATACACCAAATCTTACCAATTTATTAAGCAATTTTCTTTTTAATAAACTTTTAAACATACGTATTTTTCTTTAAAAAAAACCTTTATTTTATACAAAATATTACGAACAAAAGACAAAATTTAATTAATATAAATTATAAATCTTTGATTTATTTAATAACTCAAATGATAAATATTCACTGAATTTAAATTAAAATAACATTTTAAGCAACATACAAAATTATTTTACCGCTTAGCGATCCTAGAATTTTTTTAATGAACTGCTACTGGATAACGAAAGACTTAAAAAGTAACATTGTGTCTAATTTAAAATTTCGCTCCATATTTTGAAAACTTAAAAAATCTGTTTTTGTCAAAAAATCATTTTTTCCACTTGATAAATATTTTTAAATACAATAGCCTGAAAATGTCAAAAGTTACGCATAGGTTAATAAAATTCCTGAAATAATTCTTAAAAAAAAAGATTAAAACCCGGAAAACTTCCAACATTTTTTTTGTTTTTTACTTATTTCAGGTGTGCAATAGCATACATTTATATATAACAATATCCGTGACTTCAATAATGCCCTTACGACGTAAATTCCAAAAAGTTTAGCAAAAGCTCTTGACATTGTACACTTTTCCTAAATGCGTTTTGTATGTAGTGGAGACGTAAAATAAAAGTAAATCGGGTATCGAAAAAATCGAGCACGTTTTTCTTATACCTTGTCATATAAATGTTGCCAGAAATAACCGATAAAATAAACTAGCATATATTTTCAGCAATAAAGTTCTAGTTATCAAGTTTTTTTTCTTAAAATACAGCATAAAAATGCTACGTTTTTAATGATATGGTAAAGTTTTATAAAAATGAACATTTGTGCAGAACTGAGACGGTACTACAACCGTATTAATACCGTACTTAATTTTTTTTTAAAGCATTAATGAAGTCACGGATATGCACATACAGTTAAGGACACACTACTGTATAAGGAAATATCAATGAGTACATACGGCTGATATGTACATTTTTAAAAGCAAAATAACTACATACATCATGTATATTTGTGTACATATAATACAGATATATGTATATTTTATACTTAATGAATACTATATGCCTTCGTATTTTTATAGACTGGAACTTGACATTACGAATAATCAAGGACTGGATTCTGCTTTTTTTGAGAATGGATTTGTAAAATCGCATATACATTTTTGGCGAAATGACATTTCTGAAGAATAATTTTTTTTTGTTATTTTTTAGAAAAATTATGATTTTTGTCTATTTTCATTTCGAGTTTTCTATACGAAAAGTTGACTAAAACCTAAAAATTTTTATGCAAACATGAACTTTCTAGTTTTCTGAACAACATATCAAAAATTCAAATTTCAACTCAAAATTTTAACTATAATTTGAATTAAATATATTTTCGAGTTTTTTCCGCATTTTCTTGTACCGCCATTTCAGACAACATATCTGAGAGAATTGAGAGTATAAAAATGATAACACAGTGAATAAAAAAAAAATTGGTGCTATATTTTTTAGCACTTTTCCAAAAAAATTTTGAAAAAAAGTGCTTATTAGTTTCACTCTGTCCGTCCGTCCGTCCGTCCGTCTGTCCGTGTGTCTGTTTACAAAACTTCTACACCCTTGAAGATAGAAAGCTGAAATTTTATATGTACATAGATCTTTACTAGAAACTTATTTTCGTAGAACAAAATTTTTACCTATCTCCCCCCCTCTAGAAGTTATACCCCCTCAAAATCCTAAAAATGGCCTTTTTTAACTATTTGTTGCAATGAAGCCATAAGCATTTTTGAAATTTTGCGAACGCATAAAGGCAGCGTTTTGCTTCCCCTAGCGCGGCATACTATAGCTAAACTTTAGAAAAACAAAATCGCCGTTCAAATTAACCGTTATCTAAAGTCTTTTTTTTGCAAAATTTTGATTTCGTTTTTCTTTTAGACCCCAGCCTCTAGAAGCCTGAAAATTTGAGGGCTTTTAGACAATAATAAATGCTTCATTTCGTTAGAAAAAAATTTTTTTCCATCTCCACCCCCTCTCAAGTTATCGCCTCTTTAAATTTGTAAAATTTGAATTTTTGGCGCCTTATATTTCCGAAACCACAAGCTTTTCCAAATTTCTATTAACGCAAAAAGATAACGGTAAATTCCGTGACATTAAAAAATATAATTATTTTTCTTAACTCACACAATTAAACCTTAAAATCGAGCATTATGTTAACCCCTCTTTATATTAATTTTTGCTTTATTTCAAAGACCGCATGAATGCATCATCCTAAATATATGCAATCCTAGAAAGAGTTAAATATGAATGAAAATAATTTTAATAGTGTGATAGGTATTGAAGGGAAAAGTGCTACAATACAAACCATTGGTTTGACCCCACTTTATTAGTCTAGAATACACGACTTAAAATAAAGTTAATAAAAATTTTATTACATTTTAATTGAAGTTTGTAATTATTTGATTTTAAATTGTATAATTATGAAAGTGCTTTTAAAATTTTATAATCGTTATAAAAGATGTGTCGTTTCAAGTTTTCCCCTATACAAAAACAAATATAATAAAAATATAAAGAAACTTGAAGAAGTTCTAAAGTCTGGTGCGGTAGTTTAGGTAAATTATCTAGTCTTCTTAACAATGTGAAAATAATTCCTAATAAAACTATAATCACATACATACCTAAACAAATTATATGGACTTTTAACATAAAAAAATTCACATGTGCAGTAATTTTTATGATTTATGAATCATATAAGTTTATTTTTTTAATGGCAGACAGACATACCGGCCTGGACCCTAAGGGAGAGTGACAGTTCACAGCTGACGAATTTACACGTATTCTTATAGGATCTATAGAGGGCCCTTTTTAACATCATAAATCTCCCACAAGACCAACTTTTTTCAAATTTTTATTTAGAAAAATTTAAAATTCAATCGTTTTCTACTTTGCTAGTGCTTACATACTTAACATTCAGTTTTAAAAAAAATATTGAAAAATTGATTTAAAAAACCTTCCAAACTCTGTTAATTTTTTTTAAATTTTGTAAAAATGCTACACTACAGGCCAATTTTTAAAATTGAACATTTTACATAAATAAATACAATAAAATAAATATATAATTGTAAATATGTAAGTAAATAGCCCCCTTTCCACGCCACAGAGGTAGAAATATGGCGTGATTTTTATAGTGGTATCCCCAGTAGGCCTAATCCATTCATTTACCTAAAATTAAATTAAAGCATATTAGTAAAATTTCAGTATTTTTTTATTATATATTTTTATTATATTTCAATATTATTTATTAGTAAAATAAACTGTGTCATACATCAGGTAAATTTGTTGTTTTCCATTAGGATTGGGAAATTTATTTTGATTATTGACTCCCAGAACTCTAAACATACCCTGATTGATTTTATTGTTGTCACAAATATTGACGAAAACATGGAAGCCTTTCTCTTGAACTAAATTTATAACTTTGTTCGTGATTTCCACTAAATATTCTGCGGTGGGACGAACTACTGGAAATAACTTTATAATTTCCTTTGAACTACCAAAAACCGACTTTATCTTGAAAGCCATAATGGTTTTGGCAGGTTCAGTTGGATCATTATAAGCTCTTCCTAAAAATTTTATTTGCTTTATATTGTATATCAGGAGTAACATAACTCTCATTTATTAATAGTGCTACAATTTTTTCCCGTTCTTGTAGTCTGGAAGATAAACGTCGGAGATGTCGACTAGATGGTAAAGAAAGGAAATTTCTAAGGATT